ATGGATATGGGAAATGCACTAATCAAGTCTGTGCTATTTCACAGACTACATGCTCAACATAGATGGAATCTAATCAGACCCCTCAGTCTGTTTTATCCAAAAGGCATGCAAATGAAGAAAGCAGTGAATACGATGGAGGGGAACAAAGCTCTGCCAAGAATTTAAAGGGCGTGAAGATTGAGATTTAACTCCGTATACATTGATCAATATCTTGATCTTTGATTTTTAATTTATTTTATGCTTCGATGCACTTGGATGCTTGGGATTTGCGTTGTTGCTTGATTTTGGTTATTATGCTCCTTTGAGCAAGTAGATATCATGATATTCTGAATATTTTTTTAATATTTAGTTTAAACCTTAATCTAATATTCATTAGAAAAGTCATAAGTTTAATTCCAAGGTTTAGTTGCCCGCTATCATCTTTCTTCTTCATAGTAATGCACATGATGATTACTGCTATCTTAAAACTACAGCCCAAAGAGGGTACAAAACTTAGTTTTCAAATGTCTTCTGAAAGCTGCTTTATGTTTCTTTTTATTAGAACACTTAATTAAGTAGTGTGTGCATATTAAATAACCTGTATATGACATTTCCTGTACAACTTGGATTCATGAAATATATATTTTGTTTCACTCTTGGCATCATGAATTCACAGAGAAAAAGAAACTAAATTTCGAGAAAGATGATTATGAAGACGCCCTCCTCCATGGTTTTGATTTCCTTTCTTTTTTAATTATATCTGCAGACTTTGTAGTGGTATTGGTCCACCTCCACTGGGCCATCCCTGAGCTGCCTTTAGTCCACCTCATTTAAGGAGTTGGTCTCCTATTTAATGCCCTGGCCCAATTGGGCTGTCTACCCGACCAAGCCCATTCCCTTACCCGTTTGTCTTATACCCAGTCCATCCCGTGTGGCCCTCCCTTATATTGTCTGGTTCTTCTGGAAACCTTCTATTTCAGCCTCTCCACCTTCTCTCTAACCGATGTCTCTCCCGTTCAGTTACCCTAGACCTAGAGTGAGAGAGTGCCGGTCTCCTCTGAGCTTTAGCTCCGGCTTTGCTCCGGTGAGACTTTGGGGTTCCTATTGGGGTCTTCACTCTAGTCTGGTAGTGTGGTGGGTTATAGCTGTTAGAAAATTGATGTAACGTACCTCGAAAGTACAGCAGCGGAAGTTTAAAATTTTCCAAAACAGATCTTCCCTGATTATGACAAAACAACGAATAAAACAATAATAACAGATCTGAGTCAGAACTTACAGATCTTCCAGCCTAGCGATGATAATCCTTGACCTTTGGTATCCACGTGATTTCTCCTTTCCGAAAGAACGGTTAGATCTCCCTAAGAGAAAGGCTAGGAAATCTCTTCGCAGGGAAATAAACTGGTAATACTGAATCTGAAAACTGGTCTATGAATTATGAAGGAGAATGATGTATTTATACTAGTTCTAAACTAGTTTTTCAATCACATTGAAAGTCTTCCTAATTAATGAGTTCTAGTCCTAATAGGACCAATACTCCTTATTAATTAAATAAGTAGATTAAACAAAATAATATAATAATAACAATAACATTAGAGAGGTGGTTGCACGCCACTCTCTACTTGTTATAAGTATTATTATTTATTTCATTTTCTTTTCTTTTAATTCCAAATTATAAAAGAAAATACCAACTTTATTTAATAATAAATACACCTTAATTAGGTATAATAAATCTAATTTATCATACTTAATTAATTCTATCGGATAGAACTCTCCTTCAACTTCATGAATTAAATATGTTTAATCTAATTAACATTTAATTCATTCTCAGTATTACTAATTAAATATTATTTAATCTAATTAATAATATTTAATTCCTTCTAACAGTTCAATCGGAAGGTATAATCACTTGTTGTGTGACCCATAGGGCCTTATATATTGAGCACTAATCAAATTAAGGTCTTAGTAGAATCCCTAGACGATTTACCAGACAAACTTAATATATAAGGACGTTTGCGAGGACTTATTCAAACTCCCTGTAATATAGAGCTCATAGTGATACGGTCCTTTCATTCAACGAACATTCAACTAAGTCTAGAACATGATATTGTGTCTATCCCAATAACTCAGTCTCAGTCTCTCAATCTTTCTAGATGATCCATAACGATCATATTCGATATCCAAAACGAATATATCTTTGCATTGGCCAATGACTTTATGATCCATCTAGATATGAGAAGTAGAATGTTCTCTCTTAATCTATTATGAGGAATGAATCCTTTCTTGGCTCAACTACTACTCCATGTGCTTCGTGATGCACCCAACACATGCCGTATCTACCCCGATTGGAGTGCAAGCGTTGGTCATGGTCAAAGTACATCACTCCGCACATGTAGTACGTATTGACCTCAAGTCGGAGGACTATTACACTACTCTATACGCCGATAATCCCATAGACACATGAATAGAACTTATCAAATGGTTTCTCGGTGGGTATGCCAATATTCTCTAAAATATCTATGTGACCATCATGAATTACAGGAACTCATAGTCGTGAGATCAACTATACTTTCTAAAAGTATGATGCAGTCCACATACCAATCTTATCGCATATCATCAATATCCCATTCTTGATGATCATTGATTGGGGCCTTTTTAGGACCTTATGTTTTATCATATAAGCTCTCACTTACTTATTGACAACATAAGTCCAAGGGAACACAATTATGAATAAGACATTGACAATCGAAATGCTTAATCATCAATGTGTAATACCGTATATATCAAATATATAAAACTGAATGTGATCAAGTACATATATCTCTAAAAGGTGATTGTCGCTAGGACATATATACTAACAATCTCCCACTTGGCCTAGTGCCAATCACCGATGCGTCTAACACCTAGACTCTCAAAAGTTTAGTGTGTTTCTCGAATCTTAAAGGTTTGGTGAAAGGGCCAGCCAAATTGTCCTCTACGGGAAGGCATTCTATTGCAACTTCTCATCTTGCTATTTGTTATAAAAACATGATAGCATACTGGTATTTTTAGTTCCTTACTTTGCATCTTAGTTCCTTAGCTTGTGCAAATGCACCGGTACAGTCACAATAACAATTATTGGATAACTGTCGCTAGGAACTACCCTTATTTCTTTTAAGGAACTAACGTATCTAAACGCTTACCTATGTTGCATCAAATGCAACAATTTACTAGGCTCTAGTTGTCGAATTTACTAGCATTACTATTACATTGAGACTAAAAATATATACTGACTGTGACTCGTAGTGTTTCTTATCATACATGAAACTAGTGCTAAAATAGTTAAATTCTACTAGTTCTTTCTGTCTACCATAGACAAAAGATATTCATGAAGATTTTGGATGACCATTCTTTCGCGGACTTCAATGAGGGGATATCATTTTCTATGATCAACATATATGATTATAAAGACCATGCTATCCTTGTTGCGCACTCTAAACACGCAAGCACCCTCATTTCATTTGATGAGGTCAAACGGTTTGACTTTTTCATCAAAATTAATATTTCAACTCCTAGATGCTTGTTCTAGCCCATAAATAGATTTCTCTAATTAACATATTGAATTAGAATTTGATATGGATATAAAACCTTCAGGTTGTACCTTGTACACCTCCTCCTTGAGGTTTCCATTAAGGAAAGGGGTTTTGACATCCATTTGTCAAATCTCATAATCATATTGAGCAGCTATAACAAGCAAAATCCAAATGGACTCGATTTTTGCAACTGGCGAATAGGTATCACTATAGTCAATTCCTTTTCTTTGACTATAACTTTTAGCCACTAGCCTAGCTTTGTATGTTTTCACCTTTCCTTCAGCATTAATTTTCTCCCTGAAAATCATTTTGCATCCAATGGGTCTAACCCAACAGGCAAGTCAACCAAGTTCCATACTTGATTGATACACATCGAGTCCATTTTAGATTTTATGGCTTCTTGCCACCTCTATGAATCAACATCTAATATTGCTTCTATGTAGGTTTCAGGTTCATCCGTATCAGGAATCTTAACATCATCATAATCCTCCATGAGGAAGCCTAACCTAGTTAGTTCATGAAGAATCCTAGTAGACCCGCAGAGTTGAATGTTTTGCATTTTGTTCAGGCTGTTCATTCTGATCGTGAAGATGTTCTCTTTCATTGGACTATCCAATGCTTAGAGAGTTTTCTGGTGCTATACTCAGAGAGGGAGAGTTAGGTGCAGAAGGAAAGACAATCATGTCATTACTTTCTTCATAAGAATCATTTGCTGGTGCGAAGCGCTTCCTATATTACTCCCACTAGCTGAAGGATATCCTCCTAGAGACATTCTTCAACTTAATTCTCCCACTGAATCCTTCGTTAGACAATCTAACAAATCTTCATTCTCTATGTTACTTTAGCTTTCAATTTGATTAGTGCACATTTCTGTACATATGTAGGGCAACCCATATTTAATATGTGAAGAAAATGTCTTTTATTATACTATAACTCATATAGTACGTTTTGCACTAATGAAACTATTCAGAATGCATATTGAGATTTATAGCGTGTACCCTCAAAAGAATGTTTGGAAGAGAAAATGAATTCATCATAGATCTAGCCATGTCTAACAGAGTCCTATTTCTCCTTGCAGAAACGCCAGACTTCTAAGGTGTTCTAGAAGAGTTCATTATGATCGAATTCTTTGACCTTTTAAATAAATCAGAAATTTTACTTAAGTACTCTTTGGCTTGTTATCCTTTTTCCTAGAAAAGGTTTATTAGTCAAGTTACTTGAAAGACAAGATTCACAATTTCCATATGACTCAAAAGCAAATGGTGTTAAATAATCTAATTTATTTAACGTTGCTATTCTTGTTTCATTAATTTGACCAAGTTTGCAATGTCATAGATAGGTAGTAATTTTTCTGATTACTTAATCGAGATCCTTTTATTTTATTCATTTAATATCTAATATGTCGATTGATAATTAACCATTCATAAGAAAACCATTTCCACAACAACACCATTTTACGAAAATAACAATTATTATTATCAAAATGGAAACAGAAATCTTTTAATGTCTAACATTTGAATGGAAATAATCTTCTTGGTAATAGAAGGAATAAAATAACAATTATTTAATTCTAATCTAAAACCACTGGGCAAATCTAAACTATAAGATCCTATCACGTTCAGCAGCAACTTTTGCTCCAGCCTTCACGCGTAGGTCAATTTTATCCAGTCCAACTGCTACACTGCTTCTCAGGCTTCTGCACATTTTTACAAATGTGTAAGCCATAAGTTGTATCTAATACTTTAACAATGAGAGTTAGTTATAGACATATTTATTTAATGATAAAAATACCTGAGCTTGAAGCACCCGGTGCTTTGGCTAGATTAGCCTTATACAGCTCACAATCTCTCTTCCAATGCCCCTTCTCTTTGCAGTAGAGGCAAACATCCTTTGCAACCTTTGGCTTCATATGACCTCCACCTTTAGGCTTCAGAGCTGTAGGAGTAGGTCCAACCTTACCTTTCTTCTTTTGCTTATTCTTGTTCTTAGAACGAGACTTAGCATTAGAGCTTACCATAAGAACAGTCTTTCCTTTAGAGGTTGAGGCTTCATAAGACTTGAGCATGTTATGGAGTTCAGGCATGGTCGCTTTCGTTTTGTTCAAATTATAATTCACAATGAAGTTAGTAAATGAACTCGGAAGCGAATATAGGATGATAGCAGCTGAGACACGATCCTCAAACTTAATTCCGGTGGTAGCAACTCTTTCAATTAAGCCAATCATTTTGAGGACGTGCTCAGACACGTTGCTACCCTCTTGAAGCCTACACTTGAAAATGTCTGTCAGAAGTTCATACTCTAGAGTCTGACTTTCTGAATCAAACAGACTTTTCAAGTGTTCAAGCATCTGGAAGGCGCTCATCCTATCGTGTTGCCTTTGCAACTCCATAGACATTGCAGCCAACATAACACATTGCACAGTTTTAGCATCAGTGACGTGTTTCTCTCGAGCAGTCAGGTCAAACGTGGCAAACTCAGGAGAGTTGGCATCAGGAATCTTGGGTACCGGTGTGTCTAACACATACTCAATATTTTCTTGTCTAAGAACTAAACGCACATTTCTTTTCCAGTCCAGAAAGTTTGGTCCAGTGAGCTTGCATGTATCCAAGATACTTCTCAATGATAAATTCGACATTCCTAAAATCCTAGAGAAGTTCAAATAGAACGGGAATTAAAATCATATATTAATTCCTATGATCACATCTAGTTAACTAAATAATATGGACTTTTAATTATTTAGCTCCCACTATTTTTACATGCTCTTTGACCCCAATAAAAGGAACATGGAATGTTTTACAATCATAGTGGCCAAAATCCTCATTCATACTATTACAGTCCCAGCTTGGGCTGATCACTGCAATAGTATAATAGGTAGGTCCCCAGACCAATTGCGTCCAAGCAACTTTTGGTTGATCAATTTTTAAATGATCGACATCCTTAAATTAACACTGACGCTTGGGCGACTCGAGCTAATTTAAGTAAGTCAAAACCATCACACGATCACAAATATATGTATCTATAAATTAGTTCTATATTTTGTCGAATGGAATAAACACTTGGGTGAAATATTCTTCAACGAAAAAATATTTCTACTAATTTAATTATGATGGGTGATGTCGTTATCCTAGATAAGACTTAAATTTTAATTTATGGGGAACATTTAACGGGATATTAAATTATTCTATTTAATTAAGATGCTAGAATATATTATCAAATAATATGTTAATGAGATCTAACTCAGACAAATAACTTAAAACATGCAATTTGAATCTAATTCAAACTTGTAATAGTCAAACATTAAAGTAAAAGCATGTTAAATACACTAACCCGTCAAATTAAAATTGTCTTTCCAAATCTCAAAGATAATTAATCTAATTAATAAAAATGTTAATTTTAATTTAGTTACTTTTATAATTAGTCAATTAGAACCGATAGTGATAATTATCATTATCTTACAAACCGACTTACGTAAATGAGAAAAGATGGAAATCCTAATGTGCAGACCATACTTTCACTTCAATTTAAAATTTCTAAAACAAAAATTGCAGTAAAGCCCTCAAAGGTTTTCTAATTTTAAATCTGCATACATTAGTCTCCTTCTCAATATCAAACCCAGAACAAGTCTTCCGAACAGGGGAAACTTATAGCAGCGGGATTTACGGACCCAAACACTCAACTGCGTAAGACTCTCCTCGACTCGTCGGATGATTTTCAATTGCTTACGAATTTGAAGGTGTTCTCTCTCTTCATCGATAGAAGAGGCGTTCGTGGATGCAACGGGAAATTGAATTCGCTGCACACAAATATGATGTCTACAGTTGTTCATTCTGGATTTCGGCGGAAGCAGCTCCTCCGAAGGCTGTTATCTCCGTTGAAATCGTCCGCCATTGTTGATGAATGAAACATTCTTCAAGAAATAACAGCGAAGTAGATTGTCCGTCGTTGAAAAGAAAAACAAAAGATTTTCTAGATCGATCAATAAATAAAAGATGAAGCTTCCTTCCGGGCTTAATGAGATCTTCATCTCAGATCATCACCAGAGATGAAAAACGAAAGCAGAGAAGAGAACATAGCACCTTTCTAACAACCGTAGCACTCCATCTCAATTTGGTTCTAATTACAAATCTCAATAAAACTACTTTTGATTAAGATCAAACAAAAATACGGAGTATGTTCTGGAAAATATACAGAATATTTTCAAATCTACGAAATCTTCATCCTAAATTCGTATAATGTCATTAGAATCAGTTTGGCTCTGATACCACTGTTAGAAAATTGATGTAACGTACCTCGAAAGTACAGCAGCGGAAGTTTAAAATTTTCCAAAACAGATCTTCCCTGATTATGACAAAACAACGAATAAAACAATAATAACAGATCTGAGTCAGAACTTACAGATCTTCCAGCCTAGCGATGATAATCCTTGACCTTTGGTATCCACGTGATTTCTCCTTTCCGAAAGAACGGTTAGATCTCCCTAAGAGAAAGGCTAGGAAATCTCTTCGCAGGGAAATAAACTGGTAATACTGAATCTGAAAACTGGTCTATGAATTATGAAGGAGAATGATGTATTTATACTAGTTCTAAACTAGTTTTTCAATCACATTGAAAGTCTTCCTAATTAATGAGTTCTAGTCCTAATAGGACCAATACTCCTTATTAATTAAATAAGTAGATTAAACAAAATAATATAATAATAACAATAACATTAGAGAGGTGGTTGCACGCCACTCTCTACTTGTTATAAGTATTATTATTTATTTCATTTTCTTTTCTTTTAATTCCAAATTATAAAAGAAAATACCAACTTTATTTAATAATAAATACACCTTAATTAGGTATAATAAATCTAATTTATCATACTTAATTAATTCTATCGGATAGAACTCTCCTTCAACTTCATGAATTAAATATGTTTAATCTAATTAACATTTAATTCATTCTCAGTATTACTAATTAAATATTATTTAATCTAATTAATAATATTTAATTCCTTCTAACAGTTCAATCGGAAGGTATAATCACTTGTTGTGTGACCCATAGGGCCTTATATATTGAGCACTAATCAAATTAAGGTCTTAGTAGAATCCCTAGACGATTTACCAGACAAACTTAATATATAAGGACGTTTGCGAGGACTTATTCAAACTCCCTGTAATATAGAGCTCATAGTGATACGGTCCTTTCATTCAACGAACATTCAACTAAGTCTAGAACATGATATTGTGTCTATCCCAATAACTCAGTCTCAGTCTCTCAATCTTTCTAGATGATCCATAACGATCATATTCGATATCCAAAACGAATATATCTTTGCATTGGCCAATGACTTTATGATCCATCTAGATATGAGAAGTAGAATGTTCTCTCTTAATCTATTATGAGGAATGAATCCTTTCTTGGCTCAACTACTACTCCATGTGCTTCGTGATGCACCCAACACATGCCGTATCTACCCCGATTGGAGTGCAAGCGTTGGTCATGGTCAAAGTACATCACTCCGCACATGTAGTACGTATTGACCTCAAGTCGGAGGACTATTACACTACTCTATACGCCGATAATCCCATAGACACATGAATAGAACTTATCAAATGGTTTCTCGGTGAGTATGCCAATATTCTCTAAAATATCTATGTGACCATCATGAATTACAGGAACTCATAGTCGTGAGATCAACTATACTTTCTAAAAGTATGATGCAGTCCACATACCAATCTTATCGCATATCATCAATATAAGGTAACGTCTGGAGACTCCATCGGAGAAGGTAAGTCGGGTTGTCTCTCAGTGACACCCGCTCAGGTATAAACTTAAACTCTAATCCTTGGGCTGCCGGAGTGCCACCGACTTCTGTGATGCATGGGTGTTCTGAAACCCTAGGTTGAGGAACTACCGATTAGAAACCCTAGTTTCTTAACCATTGCATGTGTAGATTTTGTTTAGACAAGATCTGCAGAAACCCTAGGTTGGTGATATAGTGCATGAGTGGTCCAATCTGTGTCGAACTTGGCCACTGATGTATGTGAACTTGTTTGTGTTAAATTTATCCTCTACGTGATTACCTCTGAACCTGTCTCTGTATTGCTGTAGCGTGGCCTATTTTCTGCTGTATTATTTTGTGTTATTTCTCTGCTTAGTCAGTCTATCAATTTTCTTCCGCTTCTTTGTGTTGAGTTCTGGTAATTGTGTGGCTTCCTAACCCCTGGTTGGCTAGGGCACCTGAGGTTAGGGCTAAGTGATTCCCTGCCAGCCACTTCAGTGGCCCCGGAACTGTGTGGTCACTTAGTCCGCAGCCCAAACCATCAGGGTTAAGCCTTTATATTACTTGTATCTCTGCAGTTGTGTTGTGACTGTTATCATGGCTTCAAACCAGTATGGTATGATGCCTTTTAATGGTAAGACTGACTTTGACATTTGGAAACAGAAGATAAAATGTGTGTTAATACAACATAAAGTTCATAGAGCTATTACTGGGCAATACTTAGAAACTGAGGAAAACCCCAAACAAGTTGAAATGAATGAAATAGCCTGCTCAACCATATATTTAAACTTGTCTGACTCTGTCCTTAGAAAGGTTGGAGTCATTGAGTCTGCTAAAGACCTCTGGGATAAACTTGAGTCTCTATATACTGATACTTCCCTTCCTGGCAAACTGTTTTTGTCGGAAAAGTTTTTAGGTTTAGACTTGACCTAACAAAAGATATTGATGAAAACCTAGATGTTTTTAACAAACTAATCCAAAACATTAAGCAGGCTGGGGATAAACATATAGATGACTACACTGCCTTAGTCTTATTAAATGCTATACCTGATTCCTATAATGATGTTAAGTCTGCCATTAAATATGGGAGGGATGGCATAACCCTTGATATTGTTATTAATGGCCTGAGAAGTAAAGAACTTGACTTAAAACATTCTAGGAACCATCACAGGGAATCTGGGGAAGCTTTGGTTATTAGGGGAAGGTCTAAAAGCAGGTCTAAACACCCTAAAAAGGACAATCAGGATAAGAATGGTAGACAACCTAGCAAGAAAAGGCATAAGTCTAAGAAAAGGGTGTGCTATAACTGTGGGAACCCAGATCATTTCATAAAAGACTGTACCCAACCCAAAAGAAATGAACAGGCCAACTCTGTGACTAATAAGGAAATTAGTGAAGAAGTGTTCATGGTCTGTGATCAGGCTAATTCTGTCCTAAGCAACCTAACTGAACTTGAATGGTTAATAGATTCAGGTTGTACCTACCACATGACTCCTTTTAAAAATCTGTTTGCTTCTTATAGTGCTTGTGATTCTGGTTATGTGTCCCTAGCTGACAATAAGAAGTGTAAGGTCCATGGTGTGGGTGACATAAGTCTTAAGTTTGAAAATGGAACTGTTTTCAAATTAAAAAATGTTAGACATGTCCCTGATCTTAGGCACAACCTGCTTTCTGTTTCTGTTTTTGAAGAATGTGGTCTTGAGGGTAAATGGGGAAATGGGTGTATGAAGATTTTGAAAAACTCCCTTGTTTTGTTTAAAGCTTTGAAACAAAATAACCTTTATGTTGTGCTTGCCAAACCTTTTTCTGAAAATGCTAATGCTGTACTCAGTGACAAGTCTGTGCTTTGGCACCAAAGACTGGGTCACATGAGTAATAGAGGATTAAATATTTTGAAACAAACTGGATGTTTTGGTAATGACTTGGGGTGTCACCCATACCTTTCTGTGAGGGTTGTGTCCTAGGCAAACAACATAGGGTTCAGTTTCCTGTTTCTAGCTATCCTAGTGAACCTAAGTCCAAAGTTGTCCTTGACTACATACATGCAGATGTATGGGGTCCTTCCAGTGTCCCTACCCATGGGAGTAGGAGGTATTTTCTGTCCATAATTGATGACTTTTCTAGAAAAGTCTGGGTCTATTTGTTAGAACATAAATCTGATGTGTATGTTAGGTTTAAAGAATGAAAAATTATGGTAGAAAATCAAACTGGATGTAAGGTTAAAACCCTTAGAACTGACAATGGATTAGAATTCTGCAATAAGGATATGGATAGGTTGTGTATTGAGAGTGGGATTAGGAGACACAAAACTGTGCCCTATACTCCCCAACAGAATGGCTTGGTTGAGAGAATGAATAGGACCCTTCTAGACAAGGTTAGGAGTATGATTGCCACTTCTAGCCTCCCCAAGAAGTTTTGGGGAGAAGCTGTCAACACTGCCTCCTACCTGATAAACAGACCCCCCTCTGTACCTTTAGAAGGTAAGTGTCCTGAGTCTGTCTTCTCTAAGAAACCCCTGGACTTGTCAAACTTAAAAGTGTTTGGGTGTGCTGCCTATGTACATCAACAGACTGATAAGTTGGACCCTAGGTCTAAGAAATGCATTTTCTTAGGATATCCTGAAGGTGTTAAAGGATATAGGATCTAGGATAGGAACCAGAGTGGTTTTAAGGTCATTATAAGCAGAAATGTTGTGTTCAATGAAAGTGATTTTCACTGCTTAGTTAAAAATGTGACTGACCCTCAAACTGTGCATGATGGCACCTCTCCTAGTGAGGTGGAGCCTATCCAGACCACTGCTGCCCCTCTGTTAAATGAGTCTATTACTCCTGATTTGACCAACACTATGCATGACACCCACTCCACCTCTAGTGAGGTGGAGCAGCCCAGTGGTAATGATGAAAATTTGCATGATGTGATTGTTCAATCTGATTTTGCTGATAATGAAGAACTTGGAGAGATCCAAGTTGAGAATGAAAGTCTAGATGATTATGTGTTAGCCAGAGATAGGACTAGAAGAAACATTAAGAGGATTTCTGATAGCATGACTGACTATGCATTTCACCTGTATGATACTTCATTATTTGCTTTCTCTGTTTTTGAAACTCTTGAGTTGAATGAGCCTAAAACCTACCAGGAAGCCCTTGCCTCTAGAGAATCTAAAAATTGGCTATGTGCTATGCAAAGTGAGATAGATTCTTTTAAGTTGAATAAAACCTGGACCCTAGTTCCTAGGACTCCTAATTGTTATGTTGTTGAGTGAAAATGGCTTTTCAAAGTTAAAGAAGAACCAAATGACATTAGGTTTAAAGCTAGGTTAGTGATTAAAGGTTTCACTCAAAAGGAAGGGGTAGACTATGCTGAAATTTTTGCTCCCGTAGTAAAATTCACAACAATTAGGATGATGCTTGCCCTAGTTGCCCATAATGACTGGGAGATGAAGCAGATGGATGTTACCACTGCCTTCCTGCATGGTGAACTAGATAAACAGATTTTCATGAGCCAACCTGAGGGTTTTATTGACTCTAAGTACCCTAGACATGTATGTCTACTTAGGAAGGCCCTCTATGGCCTGAAACAGTCTCCCAGACAATGGAATATCAAGTTTGACCAGTGTATGTCTTCCCTGAGTTTCAAAAGGTCTGATTCTGACCCTTGTTTGTATTTTAAGAATACTGCCTTTGTACCTGTTTTCTTGTTGATCTATGTTGATGACATGCTTATCATTAGCCCCTCTGTGAATGCTATTAAGATAGTTCAAAAGTACCTTTGTGAAAACTTTGCTATGAAAGATCTTGGAGATGCTAAGAGAATCCTAGGGATTAATATACTTAGGGATAGGAGTAGGTGTACCCTTACCCTGAACCAAACCTCCTATCTTGAAAAGGTCTTGAAAAAGTTCAAAATTGACTCTGCCCAACCTGTGAATGTTCCCTTAGCACCCCATTTTGTGCTAAGCAAGGATCAGTCCCCAAGGACTGCTCCTGAGATAGATAGGATGAAGGCTGTACCCTACTCCAGTGCTATAGGGTCAGTCATGTATCTCATGGTAAGCACAAGACCTGATATAGCTTATGCTGTTAGTTGCTTAAGTAGATATATGGCAAACCCTAGTATGTCTCACTGGACTGCCCTTAAATGGCTCCTTAGATACCTTAGGGGTACACCTTCTCATGGTCTTGTGTTTTCTAAAACTGAAACTGACATTTTACTTACTGGCTATGTTGACTCCAATTATGCAAATGATAGGGACAATAGAAAGTCTACTACTTCCTACATTTTTACTCTTTGTGGTTCCTGCATAAGTTGGAAATCTCAACTACAACCTATTGTTGCACTGTCCACTACTGAATCTGAATACGTGGCAGCCACTGAGGCCTTTAAAGAGGCTATTTGGCTTAAACGAATGCTAACTGAAATTGGTTTTCTTAAGAAGGTTGTGACAGTGTACTCTGATAGCCAGTCTGCTATCCAATTGTGCAAGAATCCTGTATTCCATGACAGGATCAAGCACATTGATGTCAGGTTTCATTTTATAAGAAATATTGTGGATGCAGGTTGGATAAAGCTGTCCAAGATACCTTCAGAATTTAACCCTGCAGATATGGAGACTAAATGTCTCACTTTTGAAAAACTGTTGTCTTGTAAACGTATTCTTAATTTAGATTGTGGCTGGATAAGAATTGTAAAACAAGAAAAACCGGCGATGATGATTCTCCCTTTCACGTTGTGCTCTACACCACCAGGGGGACCGATAAGGTGGAGATTGTAGTGGTATTGGTCCACCTCCACTGGGCCATCCCTGAGCTGCCTTTGGTCCACCTCATTTAAGGAGTTGGTCTCCTATTTAATGCCCTGGCCCAATTGGGCTGTCTACCCGACCAAGCCCATTCCCTTACCCGTTTGTCTTATACCCAGCCCATCCCGTGTGGCCCTCCCTTATATTGTCTGGTTCTTCTGGAAACCTCCTATTTCAGCCTCTCCACCTTCTCTCTAACCGATGTCTCTCCCGTTCAGTTACCCTAGACCTAGAGTGAGAGAGTGTCGGTCTCCTCTGAGCTTTAGCTCCGGCTTTGCTCCGGTGAGACTTTGGGGTTCCTATTGGGGTCTTCACTCTAGTCTGGTAGTGTGGTGGGTTATAGCTGCTCCCGTGGGTTTTCTGGACTGGGGTCTGGGCTCTGAGTGTGAGGGTTAGTTGGCTGTCGCCCTTTCGTCTTCCCTGGTTGTATCCCTGGTGGTGAGTGTGAGCAAGCCTTTGGGTTTTGTGGTGATTGAGGTCTGAGCCGGTCCGGTTTTCTAACAGACTTGAATTGAAGAACCTTGATCCATCAGCTACTGCTAGGTTTCTTGGCCATCCAGATAGAGGCTCTGAGACTGTCACTTATATTTTGATTACTGTCACCCATACAATTAACGAAGAAAACAGTCAATCTGATGAAACGGAACAAAACTCTGCCAACAAAAGGTTGGAGGGTGTTAATAAGATAGAGACGTGACTCCGTATAAATTGATCATTTTCTTGATCATTGATTTTAGTTTATTTTATGCTTCAATGCGCTTAGATGCTTGGGATTTGCGATGTTGCCTGACTTTCGTTATTATGTCGCTTTGAACCAGTACAGACCATGATACTTTGAGTATTCTTTCAATATTATGTCATTTAGGTGCAGCTTTGGTTATTATTTAACCTTTATGCACTTGGATTTTATTGTTCGTATTTCAAATATCCCCAGTTCATTCTAGATTTATAGAGCAGGCTCTATGAGATGCATAATTATTTAATTACATAAATGACGGCTTCTAATAGTTGGGACTAAGGATAATCGTATGATGGACAATGGCTTATAGTAAATGGGTATGCAGTTTAGTTTAGTTTTGTACTCAATGATTTGGAGTTATGGTTGCACCATTTATGACCACTTCTTTCTGGTTTTATGGTTTTGACTCAACTTGTTTTTGAATAAGTAAGGATATTTAGCCATATTTATTTTTCATTCCTGTGTATCATTTTGATCCGTGCATTTTCTTATGTTGGTTGCCCATTTCCACCTAGCACTATAGTTGCAAAATTAGAAATTGCCTTAAATAGGAGTATCATGTTTTTTTTATTCCTTGAATAAGAGTAATCTGTCAAGCTTGGAAAAAATGTCATGTTTAAAAGCCTAGTAATGTCAAACTTGGCAGAAATTTACTCTTATTTAGAGAATAAAAAGATGATAGTCCTATTTTAGAATTTCAAATTTTTTTTACTCATATGTAGGCAATTTACTATTGCAAAATGGATTATTCACTTTTCAAATGTAGCTGTGTATTTGGGATAATGCTTATGTGTTTACTTTGAAGGGTGGTTTATATTAGAAAATCACGAAGTCTGTTTTCTACTATCGGAAAATTACTCAATTTTTTTATTCAACAAGCCTTCTTTCAGAATCATTACATCAATCAAAGTAAAACCAAAACTGACATCAACTAAAATCCAACAACTATGACTGTAAACCATATGATCAGACTTAGAGACGGTCACCCCAAAAAGAGTAACGCGAATTGCTAACCATGTAGCGGGTTTGACACAGTCATCCCTGTTCCCATAGATCCAAACATACTCAATTACATAAAAAGGCCAAATTCTCAAACAAACTGACAAACCTAACAAGATGGACCATAACAAGAAGCCAAATGATAGAGTAAAAATAACTAATAGGAAAACTTCCACGACTCTAGCACCTCGTACAACTCATGGCGGTGGTTCTGGAGGAGGTCGTATCCTTGGTACCACTCTAATTGATCATCCATTGTCAATCATCATCTGGCCTGCTCAAAATTCGTGCACCTCTTCTCGTCCCGCGCTCGTAGCAAATCGATCTTAAATGCAACCATGGTACAAGTCAAATAAAATTAGGAATTTTATCAGTCTAGGACCCGAAAGTTAAGTCTACTATCAATTTTGGACCTAAACGATAATTTGAATCAATAAGGGACCTAAAAGATCGTAAACTATCGATACATGACCCGACAATTTATCACCGTTAGTTTATTACTAACGGAATAATGATGTGGCGCCACACATTAAAAAATTAATATTATTTTTAATTATATGATGAGTCGGAATTTAACTAGGTTAATAAGCCGCAGCAAGCCAACGATCTTATTCTGCTACGCAGTATCTTGAAGCACAACTGCACAAAAATAGTTTCTTCAAGCACATCTCCACGACTCTACGCACAGCGGCACAGACATATTGTGCAAATTGTATCCTACAAAAAGTTTAAATTGTCATCTATCACCATCAATCATACTCCCTCCGTCCCATATTTATCTCCTGAAGTACAAATGACACACGGATTAAGATAGTGGGAAATGTGTGATGGAGATTTGTGCAGAGAAAAGAGAAATGTGTAAGAATGGTTGTGAACCACAAATTCTTTGCTAAAAAGGGAAAAAGAAGATAAATTTGGGACAGACCGAAAAGGAAAGTATGAAGATAATTCCGGGACGGAGGGAGTATTATTTTTAACCGTACTTGAAGTATGCTCTTTAGTATCTTCACACCAACTTTAATACAAAAAACAAAACGAACCCACATAGATATAAACACCATCTGCTTGTTTAATATTTTTTCTTCTTGATACAAAAAATAGACTTAGAATGTTTTTACTTGTACTGTAATTTGCTGGTCTGGTCTGGTCTGATCTGGTCTGGTTTGGTTTCTTTGTATTTTTATAACTATCCAAGTCTGGTTTGGTCTGGTCTGGTCTGGTCTGGAACGAATTACAGTCCAAGTAAAAACATCCTTAAACACAATCATGCAACATACAAAATAACTATGTACTCTGTTTTTTCAACCTGAGATACAGAATTTTACCAACTATGGTGTCCGAAGCTATGGTGTCCGAACTATGTTTAATTTGTCCTTTGTGAAGAAAGATAAGATAAGGTGTTGAGTGAAATGTGTGGGCAGGTGTCCATGACTTATCTACTGTTCAAAAGTTGGGAATTTAGAAACTTACAAGGTCAAAACATTCATCTCTAGTCATAGTTGTCAAAAGGAAGGAGTGAGATATAAATTAAAGAAGCGGATTGAGAGCAGCAGTGGGTCAATATGCCCACCAAATGGAATCTACTAAATGGGCAGCAATTTCATGTGGAGAAGTTATATTTGAGGTTACACTTAGACCTAAAAGGTTTGTTGTTCATATTCTGGATAATACATCTACTTGTAGACTATGGGACTTGACAGGTGTGCAGTGCCGATCCTACCTAAACTTGGGCCTGAGTCGAGATTCATAAATGGGCCCTAAACACAGTGATTCTTTGTCATATAGAATCATTAAAATTCAATGATTAAAATCACAAAACCGCAATTTTTAAAATAAAGTCTTTCATTATAGCAAAATGACATTGGATGTATTAAAGAACTAATTAAGTACAACTCGTCGAACATTTTTAGATGCAAATGTATTAACCAAGTCGCCATAATCTATGCTACCAATGAATTTCTTCTCAATTGATAACATAGCTAATCCATTAAACCTTGTTTGGGACACGGTTGAAGATGTGCACTATCCGAATTGGCACTTTTATTCGAAATCAAGTACTACGTACTTGTTAATGTTTCGGGCTGACTTTGAGTTAATGATTCAGTACGTGATTTTGTTTTCCTTTTTTGAAATCGAGACATAGATTTGGGAGGCATGGTACTAAAAAATACGTAGTAAATAAATACATAATTGAGTGGAATCCTTAACAATATATATTAGTAATTTTCACTATAAAATACAAAGCATTTAATTTAATTAATGTGAATTGAGAATTTCATAATTGCAATATTGATAACACTAAATTAAAAACAACAAAGCATTTCAGAATTTCATAATTGCAATATTCATAATTGCAATATTGATAATACTAAAAGGAAAAATAAAAAATAAGTAGAAAATACATATGTATAATACTAATACATATAAAATTTTGGGCCCCTAATTTTTACAAATCTTTTGGGTCCTGAGGCCCAAGCCTCTCCAGCCTTACATAAGTCACGGCTCTGCATGTGTGCCTTGTGTTCTGGAATGTTCATACCACCAAATGTGATAACCACCTGGATCCAGGAATTTAATCAAACTTCAAATCCTCAAATATATTAATTTATAATAATAATCTCTTTATTATAACAATTGAAATACTGAAATAAGATAATAACTAGCTATAGCCGCCAAGGTCGTTCCCGTTAACCTAAGTAGCACGGAAACGGGAAACGGGAAACGTCGGAAACGCCATTTACCAAAAATACAGGACACGAAACGCGGGGGAAACGTGCAAATATTAAAAATATAGGGGTTACTTTATAAATATTATATATATATATATATTTGTGAATTTTTTTATATGTGTGTGTTTATATATATGTATATTGACACACACATATATGTACAAACATGCCACACGAGATTATGTCACCAATCACCATAAGGAAGTCTAAAATTATTGAAATCTTAGTCACCAAAAGTATTGAAATCTTAGTCCATAACAAAACATTAAACACAACATCCATAAAAATAAATTACATTGTAGTGGAGGCATCTTCCACGGGATCAACATCTTCATTAAAAAAGACACGTTCAAGATCAAGTTCATCCAGTGATAGATTTGCAAACTCAAGAACACCAACATCTTCCAAGCTTGCAAATTGATCCCCACCAACATCCCACATCTTAGTGTTCTCATCTTCATACTGGGCAGAATTTTTGAAAGTAAGCGTAGATTATTGTGAATGAACACCAAATCTTCTGCACGCTTCGGATTTAATTTGTTCCGTCTTAATGAATGGATAAAAGAATAAGTACTCCAATTTCGTTCACAACAGGATGAAGAGCTAGGTTGTCCAAGCACTTTAAATGCCTATTTTTGGAGTAATTGTGCACCTGATCCATACACTGCCCACCACTTTCTAGGATCTGTATCACACATAGCAGCAATACAATCTGGGTCGCTAAACGGACCAATCTTCAAAGAGAAATTAGAATATTCATCAATAGCCTTAACACGCTCTTCAGAAGGAAAAATTCGCCTAAAACACTTATTTCTCTCTAATGAAAGTTCATTATCCATATGTGGAGGTGATATCCCAACTCCTTCCTGGATCCATTGATCGCTATAATACCTACAATTTATAAAACAAGTACATAATAATATATGATTATAGGACTTAAATAAATAGCTACTAGGGGAATTAAATTAAAACATAAATAAATACCGCGGATTTAAGGAATGAGCTAAGCAATGAAGCGGGGTGTTGTTCTTCGTCCAACGTTCAACTAGAATGTGATGAACAACATAGTAAAAGGGAGAATATTCAACATATGTTTTTCCTTCATGCGCAAAGATAGTCATTCTCACATTTTCAATCATTGAGTCCCACATCTCGTAAACCAAATGGAGGCATGGTTTGTCAGTATCACAAATTCTAATCATATCATACATAGGCCCAGTGAACTGCAATATGTAATCAACCTTCTCCCACCAACCTTCATCTAAAATCTTTTCTCGCACAAATTTAGCCTTTCCTTGATCATCATCTCGATATTCTGCCCATTCATCACTCCAAACCATTGCTTCTAAAGCACGTCTCAAAAGTTTAAACCTCTTAAGCATGACAATAATAGAAGCAAAACGAGTATCAGCTACTGAAAGCAACTTCAAAGTGCTAAATCGGCAGAACATAGAAAGCCTCATGGAATGGTTCATTATGAAATTTTTGATGTGCACCGCATCTCCATGAACTTCTGTGATCCAATGACACTCTTCATACGTTTCTGCATTTGTTAACACATATTTTGCCGCACAGATGTTCTTTAAGGCAAGGTTAAGAGTGTGAACAACACAAGGAGTCCAATAATTATGCAGAAATAGACCTTCAATAATTTCTCCAGCTGCCTTGCAATTTCTAGCATTATCGGTGATTACTTGAATGACTTTGTGATCACCAATCTCATTAATAACATCTGTCAATATATTAGCAATGAAATGCTTATCTTTTACCTCCCCTGAACAATCGAAAACTTTGATAAACATTGGGCCAGCTTCACAAACAACCATCACATTAATTAGTGGCCTCCTTTGTGGATCACTCCATCCGTCACTAACTATGGTCACACCTTTTTCGTACCAAGTGCTTTTTATAGGTTGCAAGGACATCTTCACATGTGCTTTCTCCCGTTGAAGTAATGTAGTTCTCAACTTATTATAACCAGGAGGTATATATCCACCCAAATTATGATTAGCAGCAAAAGTATATGAGCTAATATAATATGGATTTCTTGCAAAATTGAAAGGAATACCTCCGGTGAAGAACATCCTTACAATCTCTTCGTCTAGCTGATTCCTAGTTTGCAAATCAAAAGCTTTGGAAATGGGCGAGTCATCGACTCTTCTACTTTTCAACATCTCTAAACGACTTGGTTCATTTATCGATAAATATGTTGAGCTGCTTTGCGTGCTACTACTAGGCAAAGATACTCGCTTAGGTTGTGAACCAGCAATTTGCTTTGCAGCATCTTCTTCAAGCTTTTTGATATCTAAAATGCTCTCCGGCCCAACCTTTGGACATACAGCAATCCCTTTTGAAGGCAGTTTGAGTAAATGAGCTCTCACTATAGTGTATGTCCCCTGTTTTTGGCTACCATAAAAGTTGCAAATCCATTTCACATTGCCACCTCCATCACCAGTTTTTTGGAGTCTTTTAACAAATTGCCACAAAGGACTACTTACATCCTCTTTAAATTGTGGCATTGGCGTATTATTAACACTGTCCTCCATCACTAGAGAATTAAAAATAATCTAAGTTAATCAAATTGAATTAATCTAATTAAAAACTTAATTGCATATACAAAAACTAATTAAATTGAATTATACAACATTTAACAATTCAAATTTAATCAATTAAAATTTAAAAAAGCTGCCAGCCTGCCATTAGCCCATTACAAAAGCTGCCAGCCTCCCAATACGAACTCATACCTGAACGGTTTTGCCCTTACCCCATTCGAAGGAAAAATTCAGCCCACTAAGCGTGCGTAAGTGCGTTTCATACCTGAACGGAAGCTTGCGGACGAGTGGACGATCTTTGCGGCTTTGCCCTTTGGAGAAGCCGGTGAACTCTGCGGACTGCGGATGGAAGGAAGACTGCGTACTCGTAGGCCTTAGGGTTGAAGAACGAAGAGCGGAAGATAAAAGGTTTGATTGTTCCGTTTGAGCAGGCCCTAAAATTGATCGGATATGCGTTTAAAATTTTGGAAACGCGTTTCCAAAATTTACAAAATTGGGAAACGGCCCAGATCCGCGTATCGCGTGTTTCCTGCGCTCGGAAACGTTGGAACGTTTCCGGAACGGGGAAACTCCCCACCCCCTGCGTTTCCGTGCGTTTCAGCCGTTAACTCATCTTGGCACGCATTCCACTCCCTCGTCATCTTCCTAGGCCTTGGCCTTACCCTTAGTATATGTACATGCGAAGAAAGAAACTGATAAGCTTTATGCTTAGTATGTCACTATGGGTCCACAAAAATATTTAGAAGTCTATGTCAATTTATCGATAGATAAATTTAGAGTATAAGCATGCACTTCACAAATAATTCACAAATAACTTCTCAAGTAGCTTTCGAAAGAGATCTCAAACGGAAATACTTTCTAAAATAATATCATAAAAACTTCTGAGAGATCTCAAAATACTTTCTAAAAACATCTCTATAAAACTTCTTGAAAGAGATGTCATAAACTTTCTATAAAACTTTCTTTATGGTTAATTTTAACTCTGTGGGCCCGTATTACGTACTCAAAGGTGCCAATCCGACAACTCAGGGGAGTGACACACTAAAAATATCGGACTCTCTGAAACTCTGATAACTCTGTGGGAACTTGTTCCCGAGTACATATCACTTAATCTTTCACTTTAAATATTAGTTCGGGAGATTTGCAATTTTAGTCTTGTAACTTTCGGCTTTTATCGTTATTTGTCCTGTAACTTTAAGCACTAGCAAATTTGGTCCTGTAACTAATAAATCTTTGTAATTTAAGGACTTTCCCACTGGAAAGTACACTTTCCAGTGGAAAAGTTCGACGCCGGTGACAACTTTTCCGGTATGCTATTGCCGGAAAGTGTACTTTTTAGGGGAAAAGTCCTTAAATCGCAAATATTAATTAATTAGAGAACCAAATTTGCAAGTGACTAAAGTTACGGGACTAATAATGATAACGGCCGAAAGTTACAGAATGAATATTGCAAATTTCCCATATTAGTTCTTTTTAGTGAGACATTTGGATAAAATAATAGTGCTAACATAATCTTGACTATGCCAGATAATAAACATAACTTAATACGACAAATAAAACGACTCATCAAATAATTCACCAAGCTCACATAATAGCAAATAGTCTAACATCATCTACTAAAAATCAATCAGACTTCTTTCTTTCATTTGGTTGAACAAACATGTACAGGTGATAGTGAACTTATCTAATAGAAGCTGAATTCAAATTACTCAAATAGGTGTGGCACCTTGATAACGTCTTCCGGTAAGCTCTTCTTTAAAATCTTTAGTTGAATGTAATAATCTAATTAGCACTTGTTAACCTTTAAGAAAACTAGACACTGACTAATACTAATATTGTTCCACTCTAAGTTGTTCTTTAAACAAAAATGGAAGTTTTTTGAAGGGTCTGCCTAAACAATTTTGAAGGAATACTATTTCTAATCTTTCATTAATAAAACTACCCAACTTAAACTCTGAATTTCTTAGTAGTAAATAAAAGTAGATATAAATTTTTGAATTAAGAAAATGATGAACTAATTGACATAAGACTTCTGAACGATTAGTCGGTTACTGAAAACTTGAAATCCCTTTCTATAGAAATAATAGTTTGTTGCCCGCAAATCTGGTGTTGAAACCCAAGGATATAAAGCAATGCAAATCAAACTCTAAAATCTACCTCAGCAAAATTTACGAACACAACAAACTTTTATCTAAAGAGTATTAACTTTTATTGGCTTAAAGAGAAAATTTGCTCCACCCACCAAAATAAAGAATATCGACCAACACATAAAATTACTAGATACGGATGATTGGAACTTGAACTTACCAGACAAGAGTTTACCATGCCATGAGAGCTTTTATGATTAAATGGAAAGTTTCTCAGAGAAGGAAAAGAAAAACAGAGATATCAGGGAAATTGGTTCCCGGTGGATTGAAATAGAATGTGTGGCTACTGTTGGTGGAAAAGAAATAACATGCGTGTATATACTACTCCTTTTAGGGCTCTTAAGTCTTAATCAAAACACAGATTCGGGCCCAGATAAATAACTGATTTGGGTGTCTTAACCTGCTAAAAAAACAATGCTTCTAGGTGTTCTGGAAATAGAATTTTGACCCGATTGAAAAAGTATTTTACCATTAAATATAAACGGATAACTCCAGCAGTTTTTTTTCAGAGCTTATCGGTCAATGTTATCTGCCACAAAATGATAACACAAGATAAAATAATAAATCATATTATTCTCAGCATAAATTATTTAACTGACTGAGTAACTTATTTAACTTATCTAAACATAATATTAACTCATATAACTAGCTTACAAAAATTGGGGTGTTACAGATGTACTTCTTCAAACGAAGGCGGGTGCTCTACAAATCATTTCTGAATTGAACCCGTCTTACTTGGGTTTACAATACCCATTACTATTTCCATACGGCCAAGATGGATTTAGAGAAGATGTGTTGCTGACACGTGCAACACAAAGTGACAGAGGTAGACAACGTGTTACTATGAAAGACTTTTTTCCTACAGGTTGCAAGAGCGGGTGGACGAATCACCTTATATATTAAGAGTTAAGAAGTGATTTATATGATGGGTTAGCAGACGCTTTTGGAAGAGCATAAACAGATGCATCGAGAGTCGGCCAAAAAATTGTTTTGCCGAATTCCTTCATGGGTAGTGCACGTTATATGTTGCAAAACTACCAAGACGCAATGGCTATATGTAGATGGGTAGGGTATCCATAGTTGTTCATCACATTTACATGTAACCGGAAGTGGCTAGAGATTCTTCGCTATGTTCAGGACAAGGATTTGAATCCAGATGACCGGCTAGATATCCTCTGCACGATTTTTAAGCTGAAGCTCGAACTTCTCATCAAAGATCTAAAGGAAAATAAATTCTTTGGAGATGTCAAAGCAGGTAATATTTAAATTTGTGACTGTGTATAATTTAGTACTATGTGTTATGATGTCTTCATTTAGAGGACAATTCATATCGGGAGCTCTTACTGGAACCGTTGTGCAAAATTCACTTTTCGAAGTGGTTACCGTTAGGAATAATTTGATGAAAGTTTGTGAGAATGTTATCCATGATTTCTAAATTATGTATAACTTATGATAAACATTCAGTAAAATAAATTATTGAAAAAAACTGCGCTTGGATAGGACTCTCCGTCCGGACGCCGCAATTTGGGGTGGTTCCCGGTGGAATTTTTTAATGCAAGTTTTTTGCATGTTATTCATGAAGTTTAGATGAAGTCCACAAAATTTAAGTGAAAAAGTTAATCAGAAAGGAAGTCGAATAAATGTTTGAAGATAACTGCGTCAAAGTATACATACAAAACGCGGTTATTTTCAAATATTTATTGGACTGACTTCTCGATTTAATTTTTAGCTAAAATTTGGTGGACATAGTATACACTTCATAATAAATAATATAAAAAAAATCATAAAAAACTCCACCGAGAATCACGCCAATCAGAGGCGGCCGAACGGAGCATCATGTTCGAAAGGATGGACATGATATTTTCCCTATATATATGTACATATATATGGTCTTTTGAAATGTAGTATTCATGTATTTCTATGCACGTGTCTATATAAGTTAAATACTAATCATTTGTAAGTTACCGTATATTATTTAATAAAATAATTGTAGCAATCTGTACAAATGTACAAATAAATTACTAACCTCTTAAACAATTAATGAATTATATATACTTTAATATTAATTTAAAAATAAATAAGATAACTTCTCAGATAAAAAAATGTATATGCAGTACATGAAAATGTACTTCAATTGCATACAAATCACGATTTACATTTCAATTTTTGTGTTTGTATGTGTTATCGTTATACATATGTGTATGTTTTCTCACACTTAGAATGTAACATTGCTTTTTATTTTTATTTCATGTCTCTAATTGATCAAATAATTTTATTTTATTTTCGTTTTCAGTTGTCTACACTATAGAGTTTCAGAAGCGTGGACTACCACATTGCATGCACACATTGTATTGTGGTTGAAGATGAAAGAGCGCAATACAGGCTCGTTAGTAATCGACAGAATTATTTCAGCAGAGATCCCAGATGAATATGCAGTTAAAGAATTAATGATCCACGGTCCATGCGGCCCCATGAATGCCTCTGCACCATGCACTGAAAAACAACGTTGCACAAAGCACTTCCCAAAGAGATTTGTCTGCCGTACAACCATTGATAAGTATGGTTATCCAGTTTACAGACGGTGAGACAATGACAGGTTTGTCACGAAGAATAAGCACGATCTTGATAATAGATACGTCATCCCACATAACCTTGCCTTATTGATGAAGTATAGCGCTCACATTAATGTAGAGTGGTGTAATAAATCAAGGGTGGTTAAGTATTTATTTAAGTACATCAATAAGGGTGATGATAGAATAACTGTGGCATTATCAGAAGCCTTAGATAACTCTAAACCCAAAGTAATCGACGAGATTAAGATGTACTATGATTGCCGGTATATATCGGCATGTGAGGCTGCTTGGAGGATTTTTGGATTTCATATCCATTACCGTGATGTACTAGTTGAGCATCTCACTTTTCATCTTCCTGATGAGCAAAAAGTGTACTATAATCCGAATGTATCTATTAGCTATGTCATGGATAAACCTACGATCAACTCCACAAAATTCACAACTTGGATGAAGGCGAATAAAGTGTACCCTTCTGCCAAAAAGTTGACGTATGTTGAGTTTCCAAGTAAATTCAGGTGGAAGAAGAACATCAATGAATGGGTAGAAAGAAAGAGAGGTTTATCTTCGGATACTATTGAATATTGTGAAGGGAGCAACCAGCTTCGAGGAGTTGAGGACTTATAAAGGGACCATTTAGAGATGCGTGCAATGCACATGGTTTACTTAAAGACGATAAGGAGTATATTGATGGCCTCACAGATACGAGTTATTGGTCAACTGCACGGTCAATTCGTATTGTAATTTCTACTCTTCTGGTTTCAAATGAGTTATCAAAGCCAGATTTAGTTTGGGAAAAGTGTTGGGAGTTTTTAGCTGATGACATTATATACAATATTCGCAAAAATATGAATAATCCAAGTATATTCTATAACAATTATTGAACTTATTCAATGAATTACTTGATTATATAAATTAATAATATAGGAAAAAGACACAAGAATTATCCCAACTATTTATGACCTTCTAATATTAATCTCAAATATGTGTAATTCTAAAGTAATAAAACATATATAGATAGTCTTCTAATATTTATCCACGATAAAAAAACAGGAATTCTTTTCCTTCATATTCCTCTATAGTTACAAAAACTGGAATTTATGACATAAAATATAGTTACATTCTTCATTTTCTAAAAAAAAGTATTTACAACATAAAATAGAGTTAAATTAAATAAAAAAATCAAAACAATCATATATTCTTTGAATACATGTATTATCTTGATTTTTATTCAACTATAGTAGTAGTCTACGTACGTTTTATATTGTAGAATAATGTTACTGCCAGTTCAGACTGATCCGAATTGCTGTTCGGACGAAGCCATTTTAGAGTCTTCCCGATGGTATTAATTGATGAAACTCTTCCAAAACTTTCTCAATAAACTTTATATTATCTCCACAAAATGTCAGTTTAAAATTCAATCAAATAGTCAGTAAACTAAATAATTGCAACTTACTGCGCAAAAACATGCATAAACAATGCAGTGTTTTTCAACAATTTATTTAATTGACTTCCCGGTCGATTTTTTTGCTGAAAATTTGCACGAATGTTCTAAACTTCATGAACAAAATGCTCACAAAAATTTATCAAAAAACTTTACTTGCAATGCCACAAATATGCTTGGCCATACGGGGTTCACATCAGTCCAAATTAACCTGAATATTCCTCTTATATTGCATCCGACCATTAATGTGTCTTACTTAATTTTTTACTTCACATCCCCATTAAAACGTTAGTGAAAAATAAATTATACATTTTCCATATTGAGTGATACACTTAATAAAAAAGTATGTTTATATATTTATGTAGCAAACATGTTTGCTTTATTTATATGTTAATTGCTATTTATATGTTAATTGAAGTTACAAGCATTGCATGTGTGATTTAGTTGTGATTAAATGTTTAATTTTAGAATATTTTATCTATTAGCTTTTTTTACTTACTATAATGTAAAGCCACACGCGAAGCTCTTAGAATTTTGTAATGCTACGATTACATATTTTCTTTTAATCAATTTATATGTGCTTTTCAGATTTAGAACTTGATTAGGGAGACATCCAAAAATATTGTTAGTTGGAGATTCAAATACTCCTGCACTCAAGGGGTAGATCACTGCGTGACTTTGCTGGCATACCATTGCTACCTGATGAAGACATGCCCACGCTTGAAGAGGTGCTCATTCATGAAGAGTTGCAGCATAACAAATCAAATTTGATGGAGGAGCATGCAAAGTTGTTGGCCGAAATGACAGATGAACAACATGCGGTGTATGACAAAATCATGGAATATGTAGATCATAGAAATGGGGGTTTCAACTTTTTATATGGCCTCAGAGGAACTAGGAAAACTTATTTGTGGAAGACTTTGCCTGCAGCAGTGAGATCTCGTGGTGACATAGTGCTTCACGTGGCTTCCAGTGGTAGTCCATTGGCTAAGCTCATCCAGTTATCCAGATTGATTATATGAGATGAGGAGCCAATGACACACCGAAACTGTTTCACGGCTCTTGATAGAAGTATGAGAGATGTGCTTAAATACTCCAGCCATTGTGATGCGAGCTTGCCCTTTAGTGGAAAGACTATTGTAATCGGTGGTGACTTTAGGCGGATACTTCATGTGATTCCAAAAGGCACGAGACAAGATATTGTGCACGCAACACTGAACAACTCATTTCTCTGGTCATTCTGTACCGTAGTGACACTATATAAAACATGAGGCTATCAAGGATGGCGGGTGAGCCTGATGGACCAGCAATCCAATCTTTTGCGGACTGGATT